AAAGTAACCAACAACATGCCCTATTTGATCAGAGCAGTAAATCCAACCACTTAGAGTCATATCTGGGAAGGATAGGCAGCAATTTCACTATAAGGTCTAAGGGTGAATTAAGAATAAGATGCCTGCTGACTAAAGTAAAGGTGTGTGTGATAGCTAATATGCAGAGTGGATTTACCCATTTGACTACACACAGTTGGGAGACTATTAGGTAGGAGGGGAACTGAAGAGTAGAAGGGAAGTAAGATAAATTACAGGAAATCCTCTGCCAGTGTTTCTCTAAGTATGTAGTCTCAGGATCAGTGACATCAAAATTTCCTGAGAAGCTTGTTAAAATAAAAATTCCTGGGCCTTGTTCTGGAACTACAGAATAACATTTCTGAAGGCAAGGCCAAGAAATCTGCATTGTCTAAGCACCTGAGGCGATTTCAGTACAGCTGATTTGGAGAAGACTTCAAGAAACGCTGCTCTTGGTTAATATCAGAGAAAATATTGATGTCATGTCAGTATTAAGAAAAATAAGATACTCAGAACAAAGCATGATAATGATTCTGATGGGATAAGAGTCCAGGATATCTGTGTCCTTGCTCCAAATCCATCAATAACTATAAAACTTTGGGCTAGTTGTTTTACTTGTTGTGGCCCCATTTTATCTACATTGCAATGGGAAGCTTTTGAAGGATTTTAAGCAGGGGATTGACATGATCTGAATTATATTTGTTGTTGAATAGAGACTGAATAACAGGGATGTGGAGGCTATTGAGAGAGTCTGGGTGAGAAAAAAATGGTGGCTTAGAATAGGTTATTGGCAGTAGATTAGGAATTAATTGAATGGGTTTTGAGATTTATTTTGATAGGATCAGTGATGGATTTAATATTGACTATCAGGTTATCAGAGGTGTCAAGGATGATTCATGAGTTTCTATCTTGTGATGAATGGTTGAAGTTTTAGGTGGTATGAATGAATCGAGGGTTTAGATAATTGAGCATCAAGTCCAGATCATGTAGGTAAGGGCTAAGAACCTGGGAGGAAATGGAAGCATTAAGGAACATAAGGTCTGTCTGAAGTAAAAGACAGATAGAGTCACAGTAGGAGAAATGGATGGATGGGAGACTGTAGCCAGAGAGTGAGGTACTGGTATACCAGAGTTCCGCAGTGGAGCAGTTCTGGATGATGACCTTGTTTGTGTTTAGCCATGAGCACAGAAGGATGAAGTAGAGTGGATGTGGAGGTCAGTCAAGTTGGAGAGGGCAAGGAACTGACAGGCCAAGATGTTGGCTGGGCTGTCCACATGGACCCTGAAGTCATCCAGGATGACACATCTTGGGCTGGAGAGGACCACTATGATCTAGGGGCCAAAATCATCAGTGCAGTTGGAATAGTAAGAAAATCAGTATTGATGGGGGTAGCATGAAGCAGCTGAGTGCCAAAGATATTAAGAAAACTGGAGCTATCTATATAGCGGAAGAGGAATAATGGTTTGGAACTTACAATGGGGAGCAAAGAAAATACCCTACCCTTTGATATGTGGGTTGTGGGAGGACAAACACCTCCATTTTGGGAAGACCTTAGGCTTCAGCTTAAGGCAGGAGTTGTAATATCAAAGGAACAAGCTTTGTAAGAGGCAATGCACAAAATTATGGTCATATTTATTTATTTGGTGAGTTATATATTTTGGTCCCAGGTATAGTACTTTATATTTTCATTACAGACAGTCCCCGGGGTATGAACATCCAACTTATGTACAACTCATAGTTATGAACCAACCCTTGTAAAGTCTATTATATTAAAAATTTGAGATATGTACAATGGTCGATAATAAAAAATGGGCACTATTTTGCAACATGCATCAAAACACTATTATTATTACTGTATTATTATGTTAAACATGTTTTAGTTTATCTGGAAGTGTTTAATGTTTTTTATGCATAGAAGGCACCCTATATACTATATACTAAGACAAACATTTGACTAACTAACGCTAGATACAAAATGTACCTAACTGTTCCAACTTATGTACAAATTCGACTTAAAGACAGACTTAGGAATGGAACTCGTTCATAATCCGGGAACTGCTTGTATTAAAAAGTTCATCTTTATGCACACTGAAATATTTATAGATAAAATTATATAGTGTTCTGGAATGTGTTTCAAAATAATATGGCGTTACCCACTGCCGTCGAGTTGATTCCGACTCATAGCAACCCTACAGGACAGAGTAGAACTGCCCCATAGAGTTTCCAAGGATCACCTGGTGGATTCGAACTGACGACCTTTTGGTTAGCAGCCGTAGTTCTTAACCACTATGCTACTAGGGTTTCCAATATGAAGCAAGATTGGCCATGAATTGGTATTTATTGAAGCCCATGAATGTGTACATGGAAGTTCCTTAAACTATTATGTCCACTCTTGTATATGTTTGAATTTTAAAATAAAAAGTTAAAGAAATTACTGCATCTTTACAGATTCAACCCATTGTTTTGTCTGGAATCTTTTTTATATTCTGACTTTTTGAGACTCTCTTATCCCCTTTCCATGAGGTCCACAGTGACAGATATTATCCCATTTTACTTTTTAAAAACTTATCTGATCCTCCGTTGAGGTAAACTGTAGAGGCAGACCTAAGACTAGAACTTCATGCTCTTTTGATTTCTAGACTAGTACGTCCTACTACCTGCTTGAATGAGTTTATAAGTTTCCATTAGCAGGCTGTTATTGGGTGTTAAAATTCAGAGTAGTTCTCTAGGACCTTTGATCTTGGAAACAGACTTCATTTGATTGCAGGTCTGACAAAGTAGAGATTGCCTTTGCACGTGCTATTCTTCTGCATGGAATGTTTTTCCCTATCCCTTGGTTCATCATATTAACACCTACACAGCCTTCAAAGGTAATCTAAGGCCCCCGTTATGGATTGAATTGTGTCCCCCAAAAATACGTGTTGTAAATCCTAACTTCTATGCCTGTAGTGGAAACCCTGGTGACGTAGGGGTTAAGAGCTACGGCTGCTAACCAAAAGGTCGGCAGTTCAAATCCACCAGGTGCTCCTTGGAAACCCTTTGAGGCAGTTCTACTCTGTCTTATAGGGTCGCTATGAGTCAGAATTGACTCAAAGGCAACAGGTTTGGTTTTTTTTGGTTTATGCCTGTAGTTATAATCCCATTTGGGAATGGGTTGTCTTTGTTATGTTAACGAGGCAAGACTAGTGTAGGGTGTGTCTTGAGTTAATCTCTTTTGAGATATAAAGGAGATTAAACAAGCAAGTGAAAGAAGCAGAGATGAGGGGAAGAGAGATGCCAAGCCACATGAAGACTGCCCAGGAGCAGAAGCTCAAAGAGACAAGGACCTTCCTCCAGAGCCAACAGAGAGAAAAAGACTTCCCCGAGAGCTGACACACTGAACTCAGACTTCTAGCTTCCTAAATTGTGAGAAAATAAATTTCTGTTTGTTAAAGCCACCCCTTTGTGGTATTTCTGTTATAGCAGCATTAGATAACTAAGACATCCCCTGCCCCATTATCCCAAAAATCGTTCCCTCCTTTGCACTAGTTCACTAGTTCACTCAAATTTTTGTCATTTCATATATCCCAATGAATTTTCTTTGTGTGTGTATGTGTTATATTTTCTAATATACTAGATTCAGATTTTTTAGAATTTTGTATTCTAGAGGCTTTTTACATAAAGACAACACTAGTAAGTAGTTATTAAACAACTCTCATATGCCTGAAACCATTAGTAGAGGCGATAGGCAAATGAAAAAACCACAGGAAGCAAAATAAATATCCTGTATTTTGTCAGTTTGTGCATCTAAGGAGTACTTTACGGTATGTTTCCAATGTGCTATAAAATTTTGGTGTTGTGGAGATCACTTTTCTTCTTGGAAATCAAGTCCCATCACTTAGTGCTCTTCATTCAATGTAAAAAATGTTCTAAACCCAAACAATTCCACTTTCCTCAAAAAAAAAGAAAAATCCTCCTGCAGGATAAGATGGAGGTAGAGGTGGTCAGAAGCAGGTGTTTTTCTTGCAACTGAGTAACACATATTGGCTGTACAGATAGCTTATCACATTAGGGAATGCCCACAGGGAGGGAGATGATGCACCATACAGATAACAGATGCCATATTATTGAGTAATTTCTAGAAATGCTCCTACAATGTGACCTCAGTTTTGAAGGAATCCTTAGCTTTTCTTCTCACAAATGACAGCTTATTCAGAACTGGAAACTATATATTTCCCAAAGGAATATTATAGAAAGCATTATAGAAAGGTGTAGTCAACTTAATACCATCTTCTTTGTCTTTAAAGAAAAGGGTGGCTTTCACAAATACAGTTTTTAAAACACTCATTATAAATATGGAGGGAATATAGCTCAATTTCAAAAAATGCCCAGTTTAGATTTGTATGAATTCTATACTCCCTCCTCACCCCTTTGCAACACTCATCTGGCCAATTTCACTGTGAGAAGGTATCATTTCAAAGTCCTGGAGGATCTTTTCCTCACCAGTCAGGTTTGGGACTCACTGGTAAACAGGAGGCACAGGGAGGGCAGCGTAAAGGCAGCCTTAACATTTCCAGTGAAAAGAGCCAACTTGTTTGTGGTTTTGATTTGCTTTTAATAACAAGCTCCCTCAACCAAAACTGATGAACTGGCATTAAGAACAAGGGTACAAAAGAACATCAAGGGGCTTTCCAAAATGCTAACGAAAGGATAAATTCTCTGGTTTGGGTGGCCATCATTTTATCCCTTGGAACCAGGAGATAAAAAAAATGCAAAGCTTCTTACATATGCTGCCTGGCTATATAAAGAGACCGATTAGAGCATGTGGCCCATGGTGTTGTCTTAATACTTTATAATCACATTCCATACTTCAAGCAAATGCAAATTCTGTGCACGTTGTCCTTTAATGGCAATTTCACTGCATAGTGAATTGAAAGTAATCATTTCTGTAGTGCAAATAAAGCCTCTGTCAGGTAAATGCCAAGTTATTTTCCACATGATACTGCATTTTAAAATAACTAACTTAATTGTCAGTGAAAAGATAGGCACAAAGTGGATTTAAACCTGCTTAACTTTATTGGAACTAGCTCAGTTGATTACAGAAGGGGGGTCTCAGTCATTAGGGGGCTACATAAGTTTGAAACCAAAGGTGATTCTTCTCTAGCCATCTCCCAGCCCCAGCTATCCATTTTACAAACACATGCCATTAATCACAAGGGAGGCCAGAAGGATGCTTGATGGCTCTACGTAACCCATCGTTGCTACCGGAAAAAATAAACAAACTCCTGACACTTGTCCTACTGATGATGGATGGCACTTGGAAGATATATTTCCAAGAATCATGGCAGGCTGAAATTGGTGGCAATTAGCCCATATCTTATGCCTTTCTGTGAAAACATTTTCAGTAAGAATGTAAACATTTTAAGTAACACATTCCATATGTGAATGAGCAATTGAGATAACAGGAGATTGTATGGCTAACAGACATGAGCATATAATTTATAAAAGTTAGTGCATATGTACACACTTTAAGCTGCCACATTCTGAGTATTTAAGCTCTTCATAAAAAGTAGTTTGTACAATCTGTTTGTTCATTTTCCAATTGTTCTACCCACCCAACAGTGTAATAACAAAAAGAAAATACAACAGGTCTCTTGGTATGTTTCCTATGGCAGATGATGGCAGATATTTCCATTTCCTGCTGTCCTGTCACCCTGAAGCTCAAAAGCAGCATTGCAAATAAATCCTTCATTAAAACAATAATTGAGATACATGATTTTAAAAGAATGCTCAAGCTACTTTTATTTAATAAAAATGGTTAATAGGAGTATTATATCAAGTACGTTTCTTCTAATGAAGTTTTTTTTTTTCTATACATGGGACCCTGGGGTACAACAGACTTAGAAGTTCCCCAGAAATCAACAGGCAGTACAAGTTAAGACAACAAGGCCACCTTCCTATCCTGAGGTGCCAGTAAAATGCATAGATAGGTGGGGGTCTACAAAGGATCCCCAACTGTTACATCCACACAATAGTGAAAAGGTGACTAATTTGAGATTTCTCCCATAAACCTGAATTTAAAAAATGACACCTATTAGAGATTTTCCTGAAAAGGCGGAATCTACCTTCTTCGTAAACATTGACATTGACATGGACTTCTTTCCAGCTCTTAGCTGTACGATATTGTCTTAGCAAATTATCTGGGATTAAAAACTAAGGGGAAAGGGACTGCCTCTGCAGTGCGGAGCGGGGGAGATATTTTGGACAGTTCAAAATAGTACTTAGCCAAGAACTTCCTCCTTTCCCAAAATACATGATTCTAAAGAGATCGCTGCCACACAGTGTGGAATGTACAACATTTGTCACCTTACAGAATGTGATTAAAAACATGGCTCCCAGAGTCAGCAAAAATTCTGGTAATGTGTTACAGCCAGGAAAAGAGAAGATGAAAGATTTTGTTTAATGTATTTATTTGGATAGAGATTAGTTCTCCTAAAGTTTGCTATTTTTGCTTCTACTGTAAGTTTTTTTGTCTTATGAGTAAAGGGTTGTATGAATGAGAATTAACACAACTGCACTTTTAATTTCCATTTGCCATTCACTTTTTAACTGAGGACAAATGTGTAGGATGATCACTTCATTATTGAATATGTGAAAAAACTGGCTGAAAATCATATCACCCTCTTTGTCTTTCCCCACACATTTAAAGTTAATTCCTTTGGAAGATAATTAAGAACTACACAAGAGTATTGTTAAATATGCCATTCCTATACTCACAGAGGAACCCCATAAGATGATCCAAGACACTCAACCTCATAGCAAGAAAAGTGAGATGAGTTATTTAGGGGGACGCATTTCATGTGACTCAGTGTTGAGATGGGGATCAGGAAAGGTAAAACCTTGTAAAAGGCACTGCAGGAGAGGCAAGATAGGAATTCAGAACTCTGAACAAACTACTCAAGCCAGGGACATTTTAGAAAATATATATGCCCTGAGCCGTGAAGATGCCTTTTCTTAAAACGAGGCTTTTTTTGATATAGGGGTTTCCCAAAATAAGCATGGTAATTGGCAGAGTGGTAAGCTGTGTTGCGTGACCTTAAAAAAGTCACTTATGTTCTCTAGGTCTCAGACTCTTCATCTCTAAGATGAGGGGGTAGGGCTATACTGTTAAAATTCCTCCTAGCCACTATGGCTCATGATGTAAAATATAAGGCCTATCCTTCTATAAATCTGGTTTCTAACCAATATACCCCGAAATCTCTAACCCCGACCCTTATCTAACATCCCCCCACTCCCATCACCCTCCCTAAACCCCTGAAAACTGATCTTAATGACATTGTCTGTGGATTTGTCACCTTAATGGAGGGCACAGAGGCAACACATGGCAGGGACCTGTGGCAACAGGCATCCCCCTTCTGAGTCCTTGGAGGCAACCTTATGACAAGGCTTGGGGCCATCTCCTTCTTTGGTCCCTGCCCACATGCACATTTCCTGTTGCTTTCCAACGGTATTCCAAGCTGGAGTCAACTGGCAGTGAGAAGAGGTAGTTGAGGATACTGCTGCAATCAACCTCTCCCCTGACTGAAGCACAGTACTTTTGGGTTTCTGATGCTATTCCCTTGGAGGTGAGAGTCAAATGTGCCTTTTTAAGACTTAAGGTGAGAATTCGAGAAAACAAAATGAGTTACTTCAAATTAGTCACCAGAAATCCAAAGCATTAAACTGGCCAACAAAAATGCTTCCTTACTGCAAATGATTAGCAATTTGAGACTGGTGACCCAGCCAGTGACTTTGTGCGGTAGTAGAAATAAACACTAAGCTGATTGGTCTTAAGAAAGATAAGCAAGCTGTGTTCATGGCTACACACAGACCACAAAAGTCTTCATACAGCACCTTATCAACTCTTCATCAAGGCCTCTGATGTTCTAACTCCCTATGAGAGAGGAAGTTGTACATTGCTCTGTTAATTTACTCTCCTAGCATCTGAAAGCGATAAGTTAAATATCCAAATGCATATATTACTCCAGAACATATATATGAATGTATGAACCTCCATGAGGGAACCAACATAATTCACTTCCAAATCACCACTGAAATTAAGATGAACACAATACCTTGGGGTAGGATAGCTAAGAAATTGGGAGGGAAAGTTAGCTCAAGCACCCTTCCACACCACTGACTGATATTGCCCACTTTTTCTCCAGCTAACAAAGCTCCTAGAACTATTTCTTTTCATTAGCCAGATGAGAAAGTTTTCTCTCAATGCTGTCTAGATGATAACTGTACAAAACAGCAAATACATAAATTCTCTCTGGCTTCCCACTTTTGAACTACATGTTACAAATTTGCCTTCAACACATACTGTGTTCTTCAATTAAAAAAAGATTTGATGTACAGAAATTTTAAACAAATTTAAGCACATTGAAAGCATTGATGTATATCCAGACATTAACAGTCCAGTATTTGTATAAATTCAAAGAATAAACCTTAGATCACATTCTGATTAATCTGTGTTTAGAGGTATCTCTAAGTATACCAGTATAGACTGGAGTTTGTATGGTATTACGTAAGTATTATATTGTTCCAAAAAAAAAAAAAAAGGCCCTTTAAAAAACATCCCCACCCCCACCCCCTTGTCCTCACCCTCAAAAGAAGAAAAAACAAAAGGGAAAAAAATGATTAAAAGCATTCTTGCTGATAAACCGAAGCTCTTGATTTGGCCATTCAGATGAGATATTCCACCATCTCTGCATCAGGCTCTTGTCCCAGGATCTGAATGGGAGCTTTTCTTTCCAGAGTATTGGAGTGGAAAACAGAACCATCTAAATGGAAATAAGAGGTTAGAGAACATTGAGGGACCAAATAAAAACTCAAATTTCTAGAAATAGACAACATTAGAGCCCCTGTGGAAGCCAATTGCAAAGAGAGGTGTGTCTGCCACACCCCTCAATCACCTGAGCATTTATTTCTCTCGGAGAATGGCCTCTACTTATGTCGTTTCTCATCTTGGTGGCTGAGAAATCATTCACAGATTCTCTTCCCTACCTCTTCTAATTAATCCCCTTTGGAACATGAAAGACTCACTCCACATGACCAACTCTGTCTAAAAGTCAGGGATCAACAAATAAGTCTGTGTTTGAGGGCAGAACAAAAGCTAACTGGTACAGAGAATTATTACCTGTCTTGTCCAGACTGCAGGTCAAACTTGGTATGGATAAACGACGTGGTCCAGTACCGGTAGCTGGACTTGCAGAAGCCTCAGCCTGTGCCAAAGCTGGAGTTGGAGCTGGAGCTGGAATAGGAGCCGCAGTCGGAGCTGGAGTTGGTGCCTGAGTCTGAGCCGGAGCAGAAGCCTGAGCCGGTGCTGAAGCCGGAACCGAAGTTGGAGCTGGAGCTGGAACCGGAGCCGGGGAAGCTGGAGCAACCTGAACGGCAGCAGCAGCAGGAGCAACAGCAGCAGCGGCAACAGCTGAGGCAGAAACTGGAATCTGAGCAGCAGCAGCTGGAGAAACAGCAGCAACAATAACAGCAGCAGTTGCTGGAGACGGGGCAGCAGCAGCAGTAGCTGGAGCAGCAGCGGCAGCAACAGCAGCTGGAGCAGCAGCTACCATGGTGGTGGTGTTGGTGGCAGTGGTGGCAGTGTTGGTGGCAGCGTTGGCAGTGATGGCGGCAGCAGTGGCGGCAGCAGCAACTGGAGCAGGAACAGAGATTGGAGCAACAGCTGCAGTTTTGTTCGGGTCCGTTCCACGTTCAGTTTGGGTGCTGCAGTCTCGGCTGCCTGTCTTGGAGTGAGCTGAAAGCAGGGGAGTTGAGGGGGGCACAGGTGAGGGTGTGGAAGGGACAGACTCAGCACGATAGTCTCCACCCAGGAGAATACCTACAAATAAAAGAGAGAAAGAGGTTAGAAAATAATAGGCTCATTCTGGGAAGATGGCAGCGTAAACAAACAATTGTTCTGACACTCCCCCACAAATACAACAGGAAATTCAAGGAAATGGTGCTCGGCTTTGAGGGACTCCGAATCTTTGAGGGACTCTGAATCAGGGTGCAGAGGAAAGCAGCTGGTAACTACAGACAGGCAGCAATCAACGAATCAACCCACCAACGAGTCACATACGTTAGTAAAATTGCTTCTCCCATCGTCCTTGCTCCTACTGCTGCTGGTAGTGGCCCCAGAAAAAGAGTCTGCTCCTCTAACCACCACAGTCTCTGCTTGTATAAAGAGACAGGACGCCAAGCTTCTGCCCTAAAATCAACAAGGCAGACCTCCCCAGGGGTTCTTTTGGAGTGTGCCAGCACCTCCCCCATCCAGATACTGTCTGTTGCAAGCCTACTGCAAATTGCTACGGAAAGCCCATGCAGTGGAGACTGCTCTCATAGTCACTCTACCTACCTTCCTGTGTACCCCCATAGCTCAGGCCTCTGAAACCAACAGGACAGACATCCTGGGGAGTCAGTTCTGGTCTATCTGACCCCCCTTTTAGTCAGTGCTGGAGACTGCTGACAGAAGCTGCTGCGTGCTAAGAAGCAGGTATTTTTAGTGAAGGCTAAACCCACTGCCAACATACTACAGGGAGGGCTCTGACGGCAACAAGACAGACCTCCCAGGGTATCACTTTGGGTCTGTCTGCTCCCCCTTTATAGTTGGCACTGAGGACTGCTGACTGAGGCTGCTGTGTGCTAGGAAGTATGCATCTTGAGTGGTGGCTACACCCACAACCAACATACTATGGGATGGGCTCTGATAGCAACAAGGCAGACCTCCCTGGGGGTCTTCTCAGAGTGTGACTACCCTTCTCCCAACCAGTAACTGTTGGCTGGTGGACTGATAAGAACTCCTACAGAAGGTTGCTTACGGTGGAGTCAGGAAGTGGGTCACCTAAGTGGAGACTGCTCCGCCAACTACCACAGGGACACTGGGGCTCTGAAACCAACAAGACAGATCTCTCAGAGGTCACTCTAGGGGGTGCCAGCCCCTCCTTCTTCTGAAATAGAAGAAAGTCTGCCTGTGCTTCCCCTGAATGCCAGTTCAGATATAAGCAGTCCCCATAGGGCAGGAAAGGAAACTTCAGGAAAAACCAGAGGTAACACCCAGCCCTGAAGGGGGCTCACTGGGTATGGGTCTCCTGACTAAATACATGATTGCAGAAACAGAGAAGGGAAGGGAATAATAATTAGAGAGAGGGGACTGTGCCCATGGTGAACATATGGATTAGTATGCAATATCTCGACTGAGTGGCGATGCCTACTAGTGTACAGATTTATCATAGCATGTTCTCTAGTGTGTTTGGGAGAGATTGAAAGTTGAAAAATGAGTTCTGGAATTTTCAAATTTCAATTAAACCAGAAAGGGAGAAGGAGCTATTGCAGAGAAGTAGAGGAAATGGTAAGCAAAGGCCGAAGGCTCTTCCCTCCTAAGAGTTTCTTGCACAAAGTAATGCAGGCAAAAACATGAAATACTGGAGAAAATTGAAGAAAGTGAACACCCTCAAAAATTCCAGTGCCCTAACAAAAAAAAATCACATACACAAAAAACAGAAACAATGGCCCATCTCAAAAATCATGACAAAATGAGTGAAAACACATTTAGAGATGACCAAATGATGGAAAAATATAATACAACAGCATTAAAAATAATTAAAGAACACAGGGAAAACATAGACAAAGAGCTAGAAGAAATAAAGAAAACAATGCAAGAACAAAATGAGGATCTAAAAAAGAGATATTGCAACTGAAAGGGACAATAACTGAAATGAGAAACACAATGGAAGGGCTTAGCAAAAGATTTAACCAGCCAGAAGAAAAAATCAGCGAATTAGAGGATAAGATAGTTAAAATTACAGATGCTGAAGAGCAACAGGAGTGGAGACTCAAGAAGGCTAAGCACAGTTTAATGGAATTATGGGACAACAACAAGGGACCTAATATATACATCATGGAAATTCTAAAAGGCGATGAGGGAGAGAAAGGGAAGAAAGAATATTTGAAGAAATAATGACAGAAAATTTATCCAATCTAATGAAGGACATCAATCTACAAATCCAAGAAGCTCAAAGAAACCCAAGCAGGATAAACCCAAAGAGATCTACACCAAGACACATCATAGTTAGGCTCTCAAAAATTAAAGATTAAGAGAGAATCCTGAAAGCAGCAAGAGAGAATCAAACAGTCATATACAAAACCAAAAACCCAAACCTACTGCCACTGAGTCGATTCCAACTCATAGCGACCCCATAGGGTTTCCAAGGCTGTAAATCTCTACGGAAGCAGACTGTCACGTCTTTCTCCCACTGAGCCGCTGGTGGTTTCAAACCACTGACGTTTCGGTTAGCAGTCAATCTCTTTAAGTCATATACAAAGGTTCCCCAATAAGATTAAGTGTTGATTTTTCCTCAGAAATATTGGAGGCCAGTAGGCAATGGAATGATACATTTAAAATGCTGAAAGACAAGAACTGTCAACCAAGAATATTATACTCAGTGAAACTATCCTCCAAGAATGAGTGTGAAATTAAAACAGTCCGAGAAAAACAGAAGCTGAGAGAGTTCATATCCACCAGATTGGCCCTACAAAAATACTAATGGAAATTCTGTACATGGAAGGGAAAATACACTAGAAAGTAATTCTAAGCTATGCATAAAAAGAAAGATCCTTAATAAAGGGAAATGTATGGACAAGTACACCAAACCAAACCAAACCTGTTGTCGTCCAGTGGATTCTGACAGATAGCAACCCTACAGGATGGAGTAGAACTGCTTCACAGCGCGTCAAAGGCTGTAATCTTGACAGAAGCAGACTGCTACATCTATCCCCCAGAGAGCGGCTAGTGGGTTTGAACTGCCACCTTTTAATTAGCAGCTGGGAACTTAACCACTGAGCCACTGAGGTTTTGGATAAGTATAAGGGCTAGTAATAAGACATTCATGCTTGATAATTCTAAATGTTTTGTCCTTCATGTTTTTTAATAACAAATATATAAAAGGCAAGGATAAAACTATGTTACAGGGCAGATGAAATATAAAGATGTAATAATGACAGCAACAACACAAGGTGGGGAGAGGAATGGTATAGATATAGTTGGTACCAACTTAACCTAGAATGTAATAAATACAATCTCTTAAATGTAATATTCATGGTAAACACTAAGAAGATATATATTAAAAAAATACACAAAAGGAAAAGCAAGCAGTACTAAAGGACAAAGACAAAGAAGGCTTATGACACACAAAAAACAAGTAACAAAATGGCAGAAATCACTTCTTATCAGTAATTACAGTGAATGTAAATGGATTAAATGCTCCAGTCAAAAGACTGAAGTATATGCTGTTTACAAGAGACATGTCTTAAACTCAAGTACACAAACAGGTTGAAAGTGAAAGGATGGAAAAATATATTCCATGCAAATAACAACCAAAAGAGAGCTGGGTGGCAATCTTCATATCAGACAAAATAGACTTTAAGAAAAAATCTGCCAGATGAGATGAAGATGGACATTATATAGTGATAAAAGGGTCAACTAATCAAGAAGATTTAACAATCATAAATATATATGCATCCAACATCGGGCTCCCTAAACACATAAAGCAAACACTTATAGAATTGAAGGGAAAAACAGTGCTACAATAATAATTGGAGACTTCAATACACCACTTTCAATATTGGACAGAACATCTAGAAAGAAGATGAACAAGGAAACAGAGGACCTGGATGACATTATAAACCAACTATACTTAACAGACATATATAGAACACTCCACTCAAAAACGAAGCAATATACAATCTACTCCAGTGCTTATGGATCATTATCCATAATACACTACATTTTAGGTCACAAAGTAAGTCTTGATAAATTTAAAAAGACTGAAATCATACAAACTCTTCTCTGACCACAATGTAGTGAAGCTAGAAATCAGTAACAGAAAAAAAAAAAACTCTTCAAAATAAACAAACATATAGAAATTAAACAACACATTATTAAACTACCAATGGGTCAAGGGAGAAATCACAAATTTCTCAGAGTCAAACAAAAACGAAAGCACAATATACCAAAATTTATATGATACAGCAAAGACAGCACTCAGAGGGAAACTTAAAGTAATAAATGACTTCATAAAAAAAGAAGAAAGATCCTAAATTAACAGCCTAATTTGACAACTCCAGGAACTAGAAAGAGAAGAGCAAACTAAGCCTAAACCCACTTATAACAAAGATCAAAGCAAAAATAAATAAAATTGAAAAGAGAAAAACAATAGAGAATAAATAAAACCAGAAGTTGGTTTTTGAAAAGATCAGTAAAATTGATAAACTTTTAGCTAGACTGACAAAGAAAAAAAAAAGTTGCAAGTAACCAAAGTAAAAAATGAAAGAGGGGACATTACAACTGACCTGACAGAAATAAACAGAAAATATGACAGAATATTATGAACAACTGTATGGCAACAAACTGGATAACCTAGATGAAATGGACAAATTCTTAGGAGCACACAACCTACTCAAACTGACTCAAGAGGAAATAGAAAGTCTCAACAGACTCATAACAAGAGATGGAATCAGCAATCAAAAGCATTCCAACAAAAAAAAGTCCTGGACCAGATGGCTTCACTGCGGAATTCTACCAAACGTTTAGAGTATTGACACCAATACTGCTTCAACTCTTCTGAAAGATAGAGAAGAAACACTCCCTAATTCATTCTATGAAGCAAACATAACCGTGATACCCAAACCAGACAAAGACACAAGAAAAGAAACCTACAGGCCGATATCACTTATGAATACAGGTGTAAACATCATCAACAAAATACTAGTGAACATAATATGACAGCATATTAAAAGAGTTATATACCATGACCAAATGAGATTTATTCCAGGAACGTAGGGATGGTTTGACATTAGAAAATCAATCAACGTAATACAGCACATCAATAGAACCAAGAAAAAGAACCATATGATCATCTCTATGGATACAGAAAAAGCATTTGATAAAATCCAACACCCTTTCTTGTTGAAAACCCTAAAGAAGATTGGAATAGAAGGGAAACTCCTCAATATGATTCAGGGTATGTATAAAAAGCCAACAGCCAACATAATACTTAATGGAGAAATACTGAATGCTTTCCCCTTATAATCGGAAACAAGACAAGGGTGCCCACCCTCACCACTTCTATTCAGTATTGTATTAGAAGTTCTACCCAGTGCAATAAGACAAGAAAAAGAAATAAAAGGTATCCAGACTAAATAAGAAGTAACATTATCTCTATTTGCAGATGATATAATCCTATATATAGAAAATCCCAAAGAGTTCGCAAGAAAACTTCTAGAACTAATACAGGGATTTAGCAAAGTTGTAGGGTACAAGATCAACAAACAAAAATCAGTTGGGTTTCTCTACACCAGCAATGAGAAATCTGAAAGTGAAGTTGGGGAAACAACTCCATTTACAACAGCATCTAAGAGAATAAAATACCCAGGAATAAATGTAACCAGCACATGAAGGACTTATAAAATGAAAACTATAAAATACTGCTGAAAAAGATTAAAGAAGACTTAAATAAATGTAAAGATGTTCCATGTTGATGGATTGGAAGAGTTAGTATTGTTAAGATGTCAATAGTACCAAAAATGATCTATAGATTTGAGGAAATCTCGATCAAAATTCCAACAGCCTTCTTTACAGAAATAGAAAAAGCAATCCTCAACTTTATAATGAATAGCAAGAGGCCCTGAATAGGTAAAACAATGTAGAAAAAGAACAAAGTAGGAGGGCTCACATTTTCTGATTTTAAAACATACTATAGAACTACAGTAATCAAAACAGGCTGGTACTGGTAAAACATTAGACACATAGAAAAATGGAATAGAATTGAGAGTCTAGAAATAAACCCACACATCTATGGTCAACTGATTTTTGACAAGGGTGCTAAGTCCATTCGATGGGGAAAGAAGAGTCTCTCCGATAAATGGTGCTGGAAAAATTGATTTTCCACATGCAGAAAAATGATACAGAATCCATGCTTCACACCATACCCCAAAACAAATTCAAAATGGATTAAGGACCTAAATATGCAAACTGAAACCATAAAATTCTTAGAAAACAAGCAGGGGCAACGCTGTCAAGCCTAGCTTTCAACAATGGACTAATATAATAACAAAAGCACAAAAAGCAAAAGACAAAATAAATAATTGGGACCTCATAAAAATTAAAAACTTCTGTTCATCAAAAAACTTTGCCAAAAAAGTGAAAAGACAAGCTACCAACTGGGAGAATGTCTTTGGAAACCATATATCCGACAAGAATCTAATAACCAAAGTATATCTAAAACTTCAACAACTTAACAATAAAAAGACAAATAACCCAATCATAAAAAGGGCAAAGGACTTGAATATACATTTCATGAAAGAGGACATTCAAATGGCCACCAAACACATGAAAAGATGCTCAGCATCATTAGCCATCAGAGAGATGTAAATCAAAACCACAATGAGATACCATTTCACTCCCACTAGGATGGTTAAGATAGAAAACAACAAGAGAAAATAACAAATGTTGGCTAGGATGTGGAGAAATGGGAACCCTTATCCGTTGCTGATGGGAATGCAAAATGATACAGGGTTGGGGAAAACAGTATGGCAGTTCCTCAAAAAACTACAAATAAAACTACGATATGACCCAGAAATTCCTCTCCTAGGTATATATTCAAAAGACTTCAAAGTAGAGACTCGAACAGATACTTGTACAGCAATGTTCATTGCAGCACTATTCACAATAGCCAAAAGATTCAACAGATGAATGGATAAACAAAATGTGGTATATACATAAAATGGAACACTACTCAGCCATTAGGAGAAATGAAGTCGTGATACTTGCTACAGTATGGATGGAGCTTGAAGACATTATGCTGAGCAAAATAAGCTTATCACAAAAGGACAAATATTATACGGCCTCACTTATATAAAGATACATAAAAAGGCAAATGTATACAGACCAAAGTTTATTAGCAGTTACCACGGGTGGGAGGGAGGGAAAAAGCGGGGTTTAATGGTGATGAAAAAATTGCATTGATTAAGGGTAGGGTTGCTCAGTCGACTATTGTAATTGCTGTCAATAAGTTGTACACATGTCAAAAGTTGAATTGGCAAAGTTGTGTGATAGATACATTTACAACAACAACTCACACACACAAATAGAGTAGCTGCTGAGGCTGCTTATGTACTACCAAACACCTCATGGGATTTGGTTCCTTGGTGTTATGGATTGAATTGTGTCCCCCCAAAATGTGTGTCAATTTGGCTAGGCCATGATTCCCAGTATTGTGTGGTTGTCCTCTATTTTGTGATCTGATGTAATTATCCTGTGCGTTGTTAAATACTAACCTCTATGATGTTAATGAGAGAGGATTAGAGGCAAATATGTTAATGAAGCAGGGCACAGTCTACAGGATTAGGTTGTATCTTGAGTCAATCTCATTTGAGATATGAAAGAGAGAAGTGAGCAGAGAAGCGAGGGACCTCATTACCACCAAGAAAGAAGAGCCAGGAGCAGAGTGTGTCCTTTGGACCCGGGGTCCCTGTCCTAAGAAGCTCATAGACCATGGGAAGATTGATATCAAGGACCTTCCCCCAAAGCCAACAGAGAGAGAAAGCCTTCTCCTGGAGCTGGCACCCCAAATTCAGACTTCTAGCTTCCTAAACTGTGAGAGAATAAATTTCTGTTTGTTAAAGCTATCCACTTGTGGTATTTTTGTTATAGCAACACTAGATAACTAAGACACTTAGTTTGGAGGTTTAGGGTCATGGTTTCGTGTGACATCCCAGTTAATTGGCCTAATAATGTGTTTGGTGCTTCTGTTCTACATCCTAATTTGTTATGCAGTGCCTGGGGTCTTAAAAGCTCACATGCAGCCATCTAAGGCACAACAACTGGTCTCTATTCACCTGGAGCAACAAACTAAGAAAGAGAGTCAGGAACAGAAGGAGGATATGGAATGTGTGGCTAATTGCCTCCATGAACAACTGCCTCCTTTGCCATGAGACCATAAGAGCTGGATAGTGCCCGGCTACCATTACTGAACATTTTCATTAAAAGATTCCATAGAAGAATCTTGATCAAAAGGGGGACAATGTAGAACAGAATTTCAAATTCTCATGATCTCTAGACTTGCTGGAGCCATGGAGGTTGGATGAACCCCTGAAACTATTGCCCTGAGACAATCTTTAAACCTTAAATAAAAATACTCCCTGAAGCCATCTTAAAACCAAACAATAAGTTAATTTTACTAATAAAAAAGGTCTGCCTTGAGCATTATGCTCTTTGAAGAACTATCTATATGGGAGCAAATTGACAACAGAAACTTGCAAGATTAGATAAGAACCTTAGGGGGCAGTGAGTTTATGTTCACAAGGGAGGAACAACTCAGAAAAGGAGGGTGAGAATGGGTGCACAACTTAAAGAATGTAATCAACGTCACTAAATAGTACATGTAGAAATTGTTGAATTGCTGTATGTTTTGCTGTGTATATTCTCAACAACAACAAAATAAATAAAATTTAGAAAAAAAAAAGAAAACAATAGGCTATTCAAATACACACATCTGATTATCTGTTCCTCCTTACGTACTTGGTGGTGAGGGGGGCATAGGAGTTCAGGAGACATTTGAATGGGTCTGAATTCTTCCTTCATTTTTGCCTCTAGAAAACCCAAGAATCAGTTTGTCAGATATCTCCACCAATGCTAAAAGTTTCTTTCAGACTTAGAAGACCTCTTCTGTCCTCATTCTCCAACCTCCAGTACAACTTATTAAAACTTTAATGTCCTATATATCTATTTTGATTTATTTTTCCAATGGTGACTGATTTCCACTGAGCTGTCAGAATTCTTCTACTCGGTTCTACTTATAACCAACACCATACATTACCAGAGAGCTAGAAAGAAGTCTGTGGTCACAGATGAATGTGGTAATAATAATATAATCTAAGGTTCTAACCCATGACCATGTCCCCAAGTGCCTACTCTAACCAAAGAACGCTACAAGTGTCAGAGGATCAATAAGCAACCAGAAGAGCTAATGTATCTATATCTACACCTACAGATTATAGATAGATAGACAGACAGATAGATAGATAGATAGATAGAACAGATGATATAACTTTCTTCCTCAGGCTCTAAAAATGTGTCTGTGCTTATGGCATTCACAATACTTCTGGGGTTTTGATTAGAGGGGAAGGAATGTATAAGAATGGAATGGAAAAAGTACATTCTGTTCTCATCTCAGAACATTCTGGTAACAAAAACCTGCCACCCAGCTACATTTATAAGCTTAGCTAGAACTCTGGGTCCCCCTATTGTGTGGGAGGAAGGAGCATAGAAGAAGCTGTAATTTTGGAATTTTGAATGACATGAAGTCAACATGGGCTTTGGACAAAGACAAAGTATCCCCACATGGAAAAGGCCAAATCACAATTTTTTAAAGGAAACTGAAGTTATCTTCCTTCCCACCCAAATAGAACTCAGAATTCGATCTTCTAATACCTTGGCTTCAACCAATGTTCTCTTCAGCGAGACTTCACAGAGTAGAGGAGCTCTTGAATGTGCAGCTAGTCTCTCCGGAGGAAAAAACCCAACCTGTTATATCTTCCTCTCTATAACCTGGGCCATCATCCCTTTGCCTTGCTGTGTGAGCACTTATCTAAGTTAGGGCTCTCTTTAAACTTGTCACTATACTCTTCCTTATTTACTGTCATTACCTAGGCTCCCCTTCCAGCTCTTGTCATCACGCTTCTCTTCCATGATAGGCGTGCCAGTCAGGGTGGAAGAGTGGGATAGCAAGCCTGATCCAGCATTGGAAATAGACATCAGAGACTTAGCCGGACGCATGGATGACAGTTGCTCTGTCTTACTTGGCTCCTTCCGGGAACGCTGCTGAAGTACCTTGATCATGGCATCCTTCTCAATAATCTGGGCATGGAGGGTCTTAATCCTAGGAGCCAAAGACAAAAAAAATAAACTTTATTATAAACACCTTGTTGCCACCACCATGTTCTGGTCTCACTACTTCCATGGACTTTAGATCTCATTTTCTGTATTGACTAGGGGGTGGTCTACATATTTCTGCGTTGCAGGGAAAGGTATGGTATGCTAAATTTTTTAAAATGCCTTTCTGTACACACAGATGGAAATAGAAGAGCCTACAGAAGATGTTGCTTAAATGTTAGGAGGTTAAAGCAGAGTATGGGTTAAATGAAAGGCTGTATATATTGAGAGAGTAAACCTACGTAGTGGGTGAGTAGTGAAGGATCTGCATCAACAGAAATAACGTGTTCAGTAAGAAGGTGAAATCTTCTGTGAATGAGCCACAACCTTCAGGTAATAAGTAAATGATTATGAGTTTATAAAAGACGGCAGGTGCCCTACCTCCAAGTCTGAGTAGGTGTTCTTTTATGAAACATTCTGCTGTATCACAGGGTTGAGGTGCAGTGTTAGAAAGAATTCTCCAGTGTGCAGATATCAACAATTCAGTTCTGGCACAGGATGGATGGAAAGCAATTGGCAAGGCCAAGGGGAAAGCAGCCCTACTTGGAATTCCACAGTTGGTGGGTATAATCAAGGTAAAGGTCATCATATCATAAACCCTAAGTAACAGGCTGGCAGGGATGGAGGAGGTGGAGGAAGGCAGCATTATCAGGTTTCACAGTTATGAATAAAGATGCTTGTCCCTCCCTACTGACATATCTGGTCTCTATACCAACTTCTCATATCCATCAGGGTCAAGATTGGCATGTTACCTGCCCTCCATGTCAAGGCAACGCTTGTTGGCCATCAAGATTTCTTCTTCCTCCTTCTGGATGCGAGCTTCTAGGGCTGTGTCATAGCTGGTATTAGGAGAGTGGCTGATGACTGTTGTGTCCCTGGGGAGGAAAATGGCAGTGATAATGGTGGGAGGGCAGCAAATTCAATGGCTACTACCTCCCTCCTAAATTAAAGATATTGTTGGAAAACTCCAACCTAAAATCAAAATTATTAGAAACAGCTGGTTTCTGGGTGATGTACTGATAAGAGCCCTAGAGATGGGAAAATTCATAGGAGATTATTAACATGGGCGTGGCTGTAAAAGCCAGTGAAGAATTCTATGAGATGGGCACAGGCCTTCCTTCAAAACGGGACAAGCATCCTCTTAAAAACCTTCTGGCAGATGGTTCTTCCTTCAACTTTCAGACCATGGCCAGGGAATAAGAAAATGTACATATTTCAGTGCTTCGAACCAGGAAGAAGCGGTTCAGTCATGGCCTATGGAAACAAGGGCAGTGTAAGCATTGCATAGCAACCAAATCTCTTGAGCACAGGCTTTTGACCCCAAGTAGGAAACAGGGAGCAGTGCCCCACTCAAAGATGGTGGCCACTGTGCCACTTTAAATGTGTGTCACTCTCCACAGTCCTGCCAATAATCCAATCTCCTGTATAAGGAATCTTTCAGGAGTCTGATGTGGGAGACTGGATTATTGGCAGGACTGTGGAGAGTGACACACATTCAAGGCTACCGTCAGCCGCCATTTATGGCCGCCATCTATGTGTGGGGCACCATTGCCTGCTGCCTGTTTCCTACTCGGGTCAAAAGCCAATGTGCAAGAGATTTGGTTGCTATGCAATGCATACACTTCTGCTGGCCATGACTGAACCACTTCGAACCGGTTCAAGGTCCTGATATATTTCCACTTTATTCTCATGTCAGTCATCACGAAAGGGAAGAGGCTAAACTTTGAAGGAAGCCAGAGAATGAACTAAATAGCTTACTGCTGCAGAAGAATAGTGGTAACTACACCTGATAGCTAGAAACAAAGTATAGACGAATCAACAGCTAAGATCAGGTAGGGCATGTGAGCCGAGTGACAAGCAGTGTCTTTGAGTCAATGCCACTTGGCTCCTATCTAACCTACATCTGAAAAATTCTAGTGCCAAATTGATCAGTCTACCCTAAGTGACTGTTCTCTTGCCAGAGTCCCAACTACATAACAGACCATCGTGTTCCAGATGAAAGTGTTTCTGGCAATTAACTCAAACAGCAATTAATAAGGAGAAATGTGTTTGTGTGTGTGACAGAGAGAAGAGGAGGGCCTAGTCTTCTTCTTCACAAGTCAAAGAAATATGGGAATAGTCTGATAAATGAGGTCATCTATCTTTCTACAGTTCATTCAGAATCTACAGTAGAGAAGAGGGAAGGGAATGAAGAAAAATGGATCTTATTTGAGTAACTTGGAGGGAAAGCAAAAAAGAGAATTAGGAAGACTATTGACGTAATTATATTGGCTTTAAAGGAACTCGGACAATAGGCCTAGAAGACAATGAACTGGCACTGCTTCATTGTATTCCTATGAGAATAAGTATCTGCAGGAGAACTCCAAGCATATGTTCGCTTAGCTTAAAGATTGGGACCATTGCAGATGGGGTTGAAGTGGCAGCGAAGTGAAGGGGCAGAAAGCTGATGTGAAAGTTGGGGAATTTTGATGAGTCTCTGCAAAAGTACTCTTCTCCAAAATGCTTGTACCTTATATGTGATGTTGAAACAATCTGAACAGTGAAATAATTAAAATTAAGAAGGGGGAAGGAATACAATGACTCTCATTTCCTAAATTAATAATATTTTAACATCTCAGAATTCTCTACTTCCTCTAGTGCAATTCCCTTGCTTGTAATTTTCCTGGGAATGGCTCCTGTGTTCCAAGGAACCCAAGGCGAAGCATCATTGTGTAGCACTTGACAGCACTGGGGTCAAGCGCCAGCTTTCCCAAGTACTCTGCCATTAAGGAGCTCTATGCCTCAGTTAACTGCTCTAAGCTTCAGTCTCTTCATATGTAAAATGGGAACAATAATTGTACCTGTATCTCCCAGGGTTTTGTGGGGATAAAATAAAATTATTCATGTAAAGCATACAATGGCAGGCATAGTATAAGCACTCAATAAATTTACCTACTATTAGGAGAGGAAAGTATAGGTAAAAGAAGAATAACAGACAAGGGAGTATGACTTGAAAGAATTTCAGCTCTTGGTGTAATCCTAGAGGCAATTCCTATACTGCAGAGTTCCAATTTGATGGCTGAAACTTCAGTGCCGGGCCTCTCTAAAAAGTGCATGGTGTCTATGGACACTGGGGATTTGAGCACATGGTTTGTCACTGGGGGAGCTGGTCCTGGCTTACTGCCACTTTCATTGCATAAAAGGCCATTTTGGGGACTCAGAGCCCTGCCAGCTAATTGATATGGACGCTGTGAGCTCCTCAGGAATGGAGCCTGAAAATTTGGGGCACTTAGTGAATTCCTACGGAGCTGCCAGGACAGTCCTTAGCATTAATCTCCCTTCTAGAAGACTCGGGCTACTAGGCCAATGGCTTAGGCAAAAGCAAGCAAGCAGAGTTTTTGAGGGAGCAGCTTGACCTGCTACCTTCCAATACTGAGACACTCCTTGAGAACATCAGTAGAGAGATGCTGGAAAATACAGTCTGCAAACCCTGAATCACATATCTCCACATTTGACATCCCCCATTTCAAAGTATACAGTTTCCGGCAAAGTTAAACCCTACTATCCCTCCAGTTGCCTTCTCTCTCCTTACTTTCACCAGAGACGCCATCCCCATCATTTTATTTACGTTCCTCTCTAGAATGTCACCAATAACTTCCTAATTAAAACATCTAATAGCATTTTTAATTCCAAGTCCTTCTTTTCCTATTGGTGGCATCCTTTTGTTTATTTGATAAGCAAACCCTACAATGAGTGAGCACTGGGTTTGAAGTTACTGGGAGGCTGGAGAATGGATAAGACTAGTCTCTGACTGCAGGAAATTTTTAAGGGAAGACAAGAACGTAAATAATTAACTATTACAGGAAGGAGGTTGGACTTTATCCAATAGGCAATGAAAATTATTAGAGCTTTTCAAAAGGAATGAAATGATCTGAGCTGTGTTTTAGGAAGATAGTGTTATCTCTTGCTGAAATGTGGTGAAAGGATTAGAGGAGAGAGAGACACTGGAATCAGGCAGAGCAGTCAGCGAGGTTATTGTAATAATCCCAGCAAGAGATAATGAAAACATGAACCAGTGAAGTGGCAAGAGAACTGGAAACAGGCTGTGGGAGGCCTAATTGATAGAACTTGGAGGCTATATAAATCTGAGTGGTAGTGAGAGGGAAGAATGGATGAGAACTTTAGTGTTTATAATTCAGATGACTAAGAAAGATGGATACCATTTTCTGGGATAGAAAACCAGGGAGAGGTTTTTGGGAAATGCTGAAGTGGGCTTTGATTCTAGGTATGTTGGAATTACAGTGTCTTAATAATAGCCATAGGATGATATCCAGTAAGTTATTGAAGATTCTAACTTCAATCTTAGAGATGTCAGAGTTACCATTTGAAGCTATAGCATAGGACATGATAACTAAGAGAGAATGCAGAATGAGTAGAAAGCAATCAAAACTGAGAAATGCCTACAGAGAGAGGAGGTAGACATCTGTGATGTGTGTGACCAGATTCTAGCTTATGCTTTGCCTCAAATAGTATCTTACTATATATACTAAGCCTCAATAGTATCTTACTGAACAGTTAATAATCCCTATTCCACTATCTTTGAGCTACATCATATCTGGGAGGCAGCATAGTATACTGGATAAGGTGACAAAAATCTAGATTTAAATCCTGGTTCTTCTGCCACTTACTAGCTGTGTGTGGTCCTGGGCCATTTCATGAAGTGTTTCTTTCTAAATTTCTGCCCAAAGATGACAAAATTACCTTGAATATCACCAACTCCCAGTAATAACAATATTTTTAGTGTTAGTTAGGGTTTCATAAATAACCTCTGAACAAGTGCTGCGCTCAGGTGTTTCCTTGGGAGCTAGCTGCTAAAATTATACTTAATTCTGCTTCTAATCTGTCAACAACCTCTCTACCATCTTCTAGCACACCTGGGCACTATATTACAGCACTGACATGTATTCAGCACACCTTTCTCAGGAAACAAGGTCAGTTAAGTTTAAGCCCACGAGGAATTAGGAATCAAGCCACAGGCACCTTCAGTCTATTTAAATTATAGGGGATGCCTGGAGACAAGCAGAGCATATTAGGGGAAGTTAAGACATTTTCCTGGAGAACTGAAAGTAGATTTACAAATCACCAGTCCAGCTTTTAAGCACTGACTCCTCCTCATTAGATCTGGCATGAGAAGGACTCAAAAATAAATGTATCCATACCCCCTCCACATACAAATCCCAGTCCAAAGTCTGGCAAGTGTTTCCAGACTCTACCGGCTTACCATGTTTAGGAGAACGTTAAAAACAAAATTGTGGTTTTTAATAACTTTCTGGACAGAGACCTCTCTGGGTGCAATATGCTGTAGCCCACTTTAGATACCCAACTCCAGACCAAGGCTCTGTTTGTATCTTCACAACCCATGGCATCCCCTGATTTGAATTTAGTTTTTTTGGCTGTTATTTGTTTCCTTCCCAACTGATGACCATGAACAGCAGACAGACAGACAAACAGGATAATAGCATTATTTTCCTCCAAAGTCCAATAATTAATGTTTATAACATGAAAACCGGAACAAGTGAGAAGCAAAAAAAAATTTTAATACTCCTCCCGCCACTTTCTCTCCCCTACCAGATGGAATGTGATTGCTTACGTGTGATGAGCTCATGTACACAGAGAATGTGGCCTTCAAATATAGACTTTCTCAAAGGGCAAGGATGGATTCATGTTCAGCATAGCCTTTGACATACCTTGGATGAGCCAGAGCTATCAAATGGCAGCAGCCACTCCTGAGTGACATTTACTTCTTAGTGATATTTCTCTGGAGCGGCTTTCACTTCCAGTCCTGGTGCTAAACAAAGAAACCTACACAGGTGGCTGAAAGAATCTGTGGCTCTGGTGAAGGAGGTGTGTAAACATTCACTCAATCCCATCTGCAACTGTTCTGGCTCCCACGGAATGCTGAACTCTGATTTCTAATAGATTCCTAAAGTAACTTTAATTTTTCAAATCCCTGACCCTCTGCTCCCACATTCATTCAGTACCTGCATAACCACATGAAAGAAAAGGCACTTAAGCAGACAGGAGAGAAAGAAATAGAACATCAAAGACAAAAACAAAAAACAAAAAACAAAAACCACTGAAAAATCTATTAATCAGTTACCTTCCTGTTCTCCCCATCCACCCCCACCAAGTAGTGATCCTACCAGCTACCTGCTTACCTCTGAGCAGCCACGGTCGCAGCAGCATCCAGAGCAAAATGTCTCATCACATTCTCCTCCAAGTACTTCTGTTCCCACTTAGTCATATCAGCTTCCAGGGCCAGGATCCTCTCCTCCTTCTCCCGAAGGAGCTCCATCAGTGCAGCAGCATTGTACTCTGAAACGTTGGTGGGCTGAGAGTTGCCCTGGCGCTGTTGGGGGAGATACCCAAGATCCCACAGATTAGTAAGAGAACATACATGGTGTCTGAGTCCTATTTTAAGAGCCCCTATTCTTTGGAGCTCAGTTCTACTCTGTAACACGTGGGGTCACCATGAGTTGGAATCAACTCAATGGCAATGGGCTTGGATTGCGTTTGGATTCTGGGAAAGGATTACTGATCAAGCCACTTCAGTTTGGATTCTGATTCAGAAGCAAGGAAAATTCAGATCTCCTCCTAAGGCCACAGGACTTTCTATCTTGAGCTTGAATATGGGACACTCTTGGTAAGAAAAGGAGCCTACCATATCAAATTGTCATGCTGCTCAAAAAGTGAATCGATGGGTTAAAAATTGCCATCCCTGCCTGCCAGGATGGTACACAACAGAAATGGGAATAAAAAATCTAGTCTCGAGTCCTTACCTTGCTCCCTAACTTGCTGTGTGACCTTAACTGAGTCCTGCAGCCCTTTCTGGTTCTTTATTTTCTCTCATCTAAAAGGGGAATGGATAAACAGACGATTTCTAAAGTCCATTTCAAATTCTAAAATGACTATGAGTCTATTTGTATAGCATCTTCACTTTTTATAGGGTCTAGTCTTTGTGGGGTTCATATGAAAATAAAAGGTGTGCAAGATAATAGGCATCAAGGATTTTGCTGGGATAGGAAGCTAAGGAAGAAGACTTAATATTTATAATTGGGAGGCACTCTGGAGTAAGAACAGGTGGGGCAAAAAACCTAAAGATGAGCAAGAGTGTGGCTTTTAACTTCAGGTCAAAAGTCAACTGAAAAATAAACAACCACGAATAATTTCATTTTCTTTTTTCTCTCTCCACACCTGCTGAATTCTGAGGGATTCCAGTTCCCTCTCCAGACGCGTCCGGAGACGGTGCTCCAGCTGCTCCCGTTTTTCACATGCTGCCTGGAGCTGTACAAGGGCCTGCTGCATCTTCTCCACCTTATCTACATACACCTGCTTCTTTTTCAGCTGAAAATCCAGTTTGGGAGATTTACAAGATGAAAGGAAAAACAACAACAGGGTCAGTTGTGCAACTCCCAAATCCAACCTTGTGGTTAGATCACTCCCTACCCCCAGGCTACAACAAAAGGCTGGATGGAGAGTTGTTCCTTCATGATGATTAGCAGGCTGCCTTGTATTTATCATAAAGAAAATGTGAAGAGGGGTAAGAATTAGGAACCCCATTTTAATCTCCTCAGCTTTCCCCATCTTTAAATCTTCCCTGAGTCTATCTGCATCAGTAGGGGCTGATCATCAGTACCTTCTAGAAGACAGGTGTCTGTCTGCTATTTATTCTTCAAGGTCCAGCTCCAATGTCTTCTCTGGAAAGTTTTCCCCAGCTGTCAAACACATTCCTCATCCCTCCTTCCACTATTTTCCCATTAGGTCTTTTCATATACCTTTACTATGACTTTTATCACTGTGCCACAGAATCCTTTAAATTTTGCCCTCCCAGCTCTACAATGACCTTATCTTATTGAGCTATGTATCCTTCATGCCTAATAAACTTTTCTCACTCAATAACCTTTTTAAAAAAATAAATAAAATAATTATAGTCACTTACCTTACGTCACAAACCAACTGAGTACACTTAACAAAGATTTTGAGAGATGTTCATGATTCAAGATAGGCACCTAGGTCTCCTAACATCTTGTCCCATTAATATACATAACGAGAAAGGAAAGAGAGATAGTAGCATACGGGCAAACCCTAAGCCCACACAAAATTCTATTTCGACTGAACTCTCCACAACTTTTTTTGTCAAACCTATAAGCCATATCACAAAGCAAAGGTAGGAGCAGACTGGGGCTAAGAATTTGAGTTCTTTGTATTCTAGGAACTTGCAAGCCAAATCTTGGCTCTATGGGAATAAAGAAATAAGGAAGAGCTCAGAACTCTTCAAAGGCAGAGACACCCTCAACCCTCAAGAAGATGAGAGAAACTACAGCCTTCTCACCTTGTTAGTAAATAAGCAGATTATGCCTTGCATAATACTTGTGGGGCACCTTTCAGTGCTAACAAATCATCCTGTGAACTCCTTCTAAAGTAGAAATTCTTCCAAGTTGGGTGAATCTGCCATTACCATTCTCATGCAACTTGAGGTTAGGGATAACCTCATGGTTAAGGTTAAAATCTGAAAACATTATTATTATTAACCTGGTCAAGAAGAAAAACTACCCAGGAATTCAGCTGATCTCTGACTTTTCAACAAATTCCCAAACCTTGAGCTGCCTAGATAAACAGTAAGAGGCAATGTAAGAGATTACCCAACCTACCAGTGTCACCCACACCCATTTAGCTGGGGCCAAGCTGACAGGACCAACCTGACTCCTCCATTGCAGAAATAGTGCTTTTCTCCTTCTTACCCTCTAAAATGCCAGGTAACTCATTAAGGGTAATGAGTACAAATCACTGCTATCTAGAATCTCTAGTCAGACAGCATGGCATATGCTGATGGGAACACATTCCCTGTCTTATCACTGCCCCCTCCTCAAATCAGAATTGCTGAACTTTCTCCAGGTGGAAGGAAACATATTTTCCTACCAGACCTGTGATATGCTTTGCCTAGGTGAATGGACAAAGAAAACATTTTAGTATTTTTCTATGTTTTCTTCACATTTCCTTTCATTCTGGGCCTAGTTCAATCTAGCCTTGTAAATCAGTTGAGGTGATTTATAAGCCAAGATGTTTTTGCCCATTAGACCTTTTCTTAGGTAATAAAACAAACAAACAAGCAAAAATAATCATTTTCTTTCTCTGTGTATGCTTAAACCTTTCTTTTCTGGAGTATGTGAATATTTGTAAAAACAATGACTAAGGCAAGCAAAACCTTTGGGTCATAGATGCCTCTGCCTTCCTATTTGCTAAACTTTGAATAATTGGAGAGCAGGAAACATCCTCTATCCTTCACCTTCTGGGCTCTATAATCCTCATGAGCTATTTAAAGTTGAATGTATTTATTCGTGAATCGCACTGAAAACCCTAGGGGAGCAGTGCAATGTTAATGTAGAGAATGTTAACTATAATTACTAAGGCTTACAGCAGTTATACTTAAAGGCAATTAAACTCAGATAGCATGCAGTTCTTGTCTTGATGGTAAAGTACTGCAATGTAAGCTCAGGGAACTGAAAAAGAAGCAGTTCAAGGCTATGTGGATTTTTCCAGGCCCTGTCTTTCTTGGAAAAGAAACTCCAAATATCCCAGCAATAGAAATAACTGAGCCAACCCTTTGGAGAGAAAAGCAGTAAAGGTCTAAGGAGTTTTCTGAGTTAGCTGAAGATAGGCACGTAGGTCAGAAAACTTCCATAACATAGGCCAAGAAAAATTCCATTATGCTTTGCCACTGGGTAGATTATCCACAGGTACCAGGGCCATTATTGCTGGCATAATTTTCCAACACCCTTTAACAGAAGAAAAAGTACAGCTCACCCATAAACACCATGATCACCTAGTAAAGGCTTAATCCCTAGATAAGTTAGGCTTGAAAAGGACAACTCTTGGACGCTACTAATGCAAGACACTATAGATGCAATCAACAAAGTCATATATCTTCTAAGTTATATACTCTATGCTTTCTGGATCTCATCTATGGATAAAAGGAACAAACATTTATATAGGTTATTAACTTTTCTACTATGCTGGACTTTGTATGTATCACTTCTACCATCACTGTGATAAATTCCCTTTTCTTCTTTTCTGCCTCTCCCCACAAATTTATCCCCCATGCTAAGCTCCTCAGAAGTTTAATCTCTTTAATGTATCTTTGTGAATCTTCAGTGTTAGATTGGCAATTAGTACACCCCGGATCCTCAACTTCATCTTCCAATGTCTTCAGAAATGTCAGTGGCTCCTTCTCAGGTGATGAGAAAAGCAGTATAGTGAAATGGTTAAGGTCATGGGCTCTGGTCTCAGACAGCCCAATTCCAATTCCTGGCTCTCAAACTCACTAAGTATGTAACCTTGAGCAAGTTACTTAATCTCCCTGAACATTTTTTTCCCTGAGATTCCATTTACTAATTAATCAATAACATGGGGATAATGATAATGCTGTGTACCTCTATAAGGATCAATTGAGATAACACACATGAAGTGCTTAGTACCAAGTCTGGCACAAAAAAAGTACTCAGGATTTTTTCCCCCCATTTTTGAAGAAAAAGTTGATGTCAAGTCACACATGCTCCAGTCCTCCAACTTTGAACACTCACTCCAGACAGCCTTGATGTGGTTCTCATTTTTTCGGAAACTCTAAGTAACATCGATGTTGAATTAAAACATTAAAAACATAGCCATTTTCCCCCAGGAAGACATTTAACACTAAACCTCATGCTCTTCACACAGTAGAGCTGAAGAGATCTTTATAGGACAGAGCCATTCAGTGGAGATCCAATGAGAAGCAACCACTGAGTAGCTGCAAGGACACCATATTCTTTCAAAATTAGGTAATTTGGGAGATACCTCCATTTTATGAGGAAGAAATACTTTACCTATAGTCAAAGGTACTGTTTAACTAGAGACCCTTAGGCAGACTTCATTTTCTGCCCCCGCCCACAAATATACATATCAGAAATTTCTATTTGACAGCATAATAAAACGTAAAGAATGAGGTGACAATCAGTAGACTTTGGTTCTAGTCCTGGCTCTGCTATCAATGGTAACTTGCTTCCCTGTTCTTAGCCTCAGAGTCTCTCATTTGTAAAAATGAGAGGGGTTTCAGGGGTCAGCAAACCAAAATGGTCAGCTGTGGGCCAAATGCAGCTCATTCATTTACATATTGCCTATGGCTGCCTTCTAGCTATAATGGCAGAGTTGAGGAGATGCAGTTAGGACAGAAACTGTACAGCCCACGCTATCAACAATATTTACTATCTGTTCCTTTTACAGAAAACGTTTGCCAACTCCTGGCTAGATCAATGGTTTTCAAAGCATCTTCCAGAGTCCAGGTGTTTGTAGAGGTGCTTCGGGGCCACTAGCGGGTGGGTTGTATCAAATGGATTATCTTTTATGCATTTTATACATTAGGGTTATACATAAAGCTTCATTTGAAAAAAAGGTTGCCACAGCTTTTAAATAAGTAAATATCTATATAAATAATAAATATCTATATATATGTATGTATACATTTATTCATTTAAAAGCTATATATATATAGCTTTTATATATATATATATATATAGCTTTTAAATAAATATATATATAGTTTATATATATATATACGTCACGGATTGAATTGTGTCCCCAAAAAGTATCTGTAAACTTGGCTGGGTCATGATTCCCAGTATTGTATGATTGTGTAATCTGATGTGATTTGCTTATGTGTTGTAAACTCTATCACTATGGTGAGGTTATATGGGATCTCCTTATGTGTTGTAAATTCTATCACTGTGATGAGGTTATATTGATGAGGTTTACAAGATTAGATAGTGTCTTAATCCAATCTCTTTTGAGATATAAAAGAGAAAAGCAAGCAGAGACACATGGGAACCTCATACCACCAAGAAAGCAGCGCCGGGATCAGAGTGCGTCCTTTGGAACTGAGAGCATGTCCTTTGGACCTGAGTCCTGCACAGACCAAGGGAAGACTGATGACATGGACCTTGCTCCAGAACAGAAAGAGAAAGTGTTCCCCCTGGAGCTGACACCCTGAATTTGGACTTGTAGCCTACTGGACTGTGAGAGAATAAACTTCTCTTTGTTAAAGCTATCCACTTGTGGTATTTCTGTTATAGCAGCACTAGATGACTAAGACAGAATTTGGTACCGGGAGTGGGATACTGCTCTAACAGATACCTAAAATGTGGAAGCGGTTTTCAAACTGTGAATGAATAGAGGTGCGGCAGCAGCAGAGGACCAGCAGTGGCAGAGAACCTGCAGCAGCAGAACCAGGAGACCAGTGTGAGACGGCACTGGAGCTGACCCACGAAGCGAGAGAGACGAGTGGCTGTGCGCCTGAGGCTTCCTGGTAGAGTGGG